ATGAAGTTATAAGTAGATCATTAGGGCTAAATGATAGGCTTAGATTAGTATGTAAGGATGAGCAGATTGGCTGGTTGGACTTGTTGGATCAGTTCAGTGGAAGATGGGATCTTTTTGGAATGGATGGTTTAAATTTAAATAAGATGGGGGCTGGTTTGTTTGCTAAGGCTTTTAACTCAGCTGTAAGGGAAGTTTTAAACTAGGACTAGACAGTGGTGAGGGCCAGGATAAACTAAATGCAAAAAGAATAAGAGTCAGAGAAAAGTTTAGCATAGGAAATGTGTATAGAAGTAGTAATAAAGATAGGCTTAATTGTTACTATTGTAATGCTAGAAGTTAGAGATGCACAGGTAGTAAAATTTGGCCGAATACCGAGTCCGGATACCCGGTCACTAAGCTTCGGCCAGGGCCAGGTGTCAACTGGGACCAGGTTTTTCCACTGCACCCCCCCTCAAAAAACAACAACAACAAAATTAAATTACATTTAACTGAATAATCACCAACAAAACATTCAAGTTTTACTTTCAACTTTCAATGCCTAGCCCCAACTTCTCAAACCCTAACCCTTATTGTGCTCAAAACCCCCACCTTCCCCAAAAATCCACTTCTCAAGCTACGCCTGTTATTAACCCCTATTGTTCTTTCAATCCCTGACTTTCAGCAGGTGGTCAGTTTTTGTTGCTCAGAACATGCTTTTTTATAACTAAACCAATTATTAACTGTAACTTTCAGTACCATGCTAGTTGCCACAAAGATTAGGGCTTAGATGCCTAACTTTGACACTCGGCTGAAGCCGAGTATTACCGGGTAGCCCAACACCAGGCTGGGGCCGAATATCTGGCTGGGTACTTGTGCATCCATACTAGAAATATATAAGATAAAATAGATAACTTTAGAGCACTGGTAGGAATGGAGGATTTTGATATAATGAGAATAACTGAAACATGGTTAAATGTAAATGATTTTGATGACAGAAATTTCTTTGAAACACAGTATTATGGGTTATCTAATAAAGGGGGAGGAGTGTCTTTATGTAAAATGTAAATTATATCCTGTTGAAGTTGAGGATATTAAAATAATACCAACGAGGTTGAATCCATTTGGGTTTCTATTAGTGGATATAAAGGGAAAAGGCTTTTAGTGGGAATTTGTTATAAACCACCGGATGATACTGATGAAATTAGAGAAAAACCTTACAATGACATTAAGATTTCAGCTGTTAATGAAATCATAATTATGGCTGATTTTAATTTCAGGCATATATGTTGAGAAATGCTAGAGTCAAACCATGAGGGAGAAAGGTTTCAGAAACTGTTTAAGATGCCTTTCTTCACCAATTAGTCAATGAACCTACTAGAAACAATGCTAATTTAGATTTATTGTTAACTTCAAATGTAGAAATGATCGAGAGGGTGGAAATTGGGGAACATCTGGGTGCAAGTGATCATTCCTCTATTAGGTTCAATGTTTACCTGCATATCGAGATAAAGAATAATGATATTTTGGTTACAAATTTAAAAAAAACATTTTGAAGGAATGTGACAGGAATTTTTTGTCATGAATTGGGCAGCTGAGTTATTTGAAGACATTGATCAGATAAATTTTTAAATATTCAAGGTAAACATATTCCTTATAGAAAGAAAATGGTAGCTACAAGTAAAAAAACCAGGTTGGCTCACAAAGCATATAACAGATAAAATTAAAGAAAAGCATCATCAATTTAAAAAACTTAAATTGAGTGGTATAATGAGAGATTTAGAAGATAAAGAAAGTCAGTGAAACAGAAAATTAGGACATCAAAATGATGTATGAGAAAAGGTTGGCTGAAAATGTAAAAATTAACAGTAAAGATTTCTTTAAATACATTAAGGGTAAACAAATTATTATGATGGGGGTAGGACCCTTGAGGGATGATAAAAGAAGGCTCATATCTGATGATTATGAGATGGCTGGGTTATTAAAGTTTGCCTTTCCTTCAGTTTTTACTAATGAAGATTTAAGCTGTGTTACACATCTTAATCAGTTGATAGATGGAAACGAGATCGAACGAGATGACTTAATTAATTCTGAGCTGGTTAAGAAAAAATTGGGCAGCTTAAAGAATGATAAGGCTCCTGGGCCAAGGGTTTTGAAGGGGTTAAATATTGGTTATGTGAGCCACTTGCTACTATTTTTTGTCAGCCCAGAGGATTGGAAGTTAGCTAATGTAACACCTCTTTTCAAGGGAGGTGATAATTGTTCCAGTAATTATAGACCTATTAGTCTTACATCAGTTGTGGGAAAAATTTTGGAAAGTCTGTTAAAAGATGCTTTGCAAATTTATTTTAAAAAGTTTAGAATTTTATTGGATAGTCAACATGGTTTCACCAAGGGAAAATTTTGCCTTACAAATCTTTTGACATTCTTTGAAAAGCCTACTGCTTATGTCGGTGAGGTAAGGGTGTAGAATTGGTGTATCTGGATTTTCAGAAATCATTTGACAAGGTCCCACATAAAAGGTTTGTAAAATATTATCTATATAGGTGTGGGGATAAGTTAGCAAATTAGATAGAAGAATGGCTGGATGGAAGAAAGCAGAGGGTTGTTACAAATGGACTTCAGTCAAACTGGATTAATATCACAAGTGGGGTACCTCAGGGCTCAGTCTTAGGCCCTTTGTTCTTTCAATGACATAGATGAAGGAATGGTCAATAAGTTACTTAAATTTGCAAATGATATTAAGGTCTTGGGTGTTACTAACTCTGAAAAGGATGCTGCTGATTTACACAAGGATTTATATCATCTAGTGAGTTTGGAAAATAAATGTGGGTTATCATAATTTGAATTACAAGTATAATTTGGATGGGAATAGCCTTAACAGT